CATTTAGGTGGCCACTATTGTTTAATTCATCCATCGATTCCTTGGAGGGAGGGGCAGAGGTTCTCCTCAGAGAGTTCAGTGATGGCCCCGAGCTGAGGAGTGACCGATACCCCCAGGGCTGTGCAGCCCCTCAGAAGGGGAGAGATGGCAGAGGAACTGTGAGAAATTCAGCAAAGGAAATGCAGGGTCCTGCCCCTGGGGAATCACGGCCCCTCAGAAGGGGAAAGATGTCAGAGAAACTGTGAAATTCTGCGAAGGAAATGCAGGGCCCTGCCCGCAGCCCCTCAGAAGGGGAGAGATGGCAGAGGAACTGTGAAATTCAGCAAAGGAAATGCAGGATCCTATCCGCAGCCCCTCAGAAGGTCCATGACAGGGGAGAGATGGCAGAGGAACTGTGCAATTCAGCAAAGGTAATGCAGGGCCCTGCCCACAGCTCCTCACAAGGGCCATGACAGACTGGAGAGACAGCAGAGTCTGAAATTCAGCAAAGGAAATGCAGGGTCCTGCCCCTGGGGAAGAACAGCCCCTCAGAATGGGAGAGATGGCAGAGAAACTGTGAAATTCGGCAAAGGAAATGCAGGTCCTGCCCCTGGGGAAGCATAGCCCCTCAGAAGGGCCATGACAGGCTGCAGAGATGGCAGAGAACTGTGAAATTCAGCAAAGGAAATGCAGGTCCTGCCCCTGGGGAAGCACAGCCCCTCAGAAGGGGAGAGATGGCAGAGAACTGTGTGAAATTCAGCAAAGGAAATGCAGGTCCTGCCCCTGGGGAAGCACAGCCCCGGSMRCAGCACAGGCTGGGGCTGCCCTGCTGGAGCAGCTCTGCACTGAAGGGCCCGGGGGTCCTGCTGGACAAGGAGCTGTCCATGAGCTGTCCCTGAGCTGTCCCTGAGCTGTCCCTGAGCTGTCCCTGAACTGTCCCTGAGCTGTCCCTGAACTGTCCATGAGCTGTCCATGAGCTGTCCATGAGCTGTCCGTGAGCTGTCCATGAGCTGTCCCTGAGCTGTCCATGAGCTGTCCGTGAGCTGTCCCTGAGCTGTCCCTGAGCTGTCCCTGAGCTGTCCATGAGCTGTCCATGAGCTGTCCCTGAACTGTCCCTGAGCTGTCCCTGAGCTGTCCCTGAGCTGTCCATGAACTGTCCCTGAGCTGTCCCTGAGCTGTCTGTGAACTGTCCCTGAGCTGTCCATGAACTGTCCCTGAGCTGTCCCTGAGCTGTCCCTGAGCTGTCC